GACCCAACCACGACCTCTGCCAGCGTCTCCTTTGTTGGCACAGACCCAGACGAGTGCGCCTATTTCTTTGAGGTCCGATCTTCTCACGCATGCGCCCACGCAGAGCCGCACAAGCCCGGTAGCGTCGGTCCCGGCAGCATCTTCGGACTCATCGTCGTGATCGCGGTGCTCGTGTACTTCCTAGGCGGCATCTTCTACAACCGAACGGTGACCCATGCGCGTGGCTGGCGACAACTCCCCAACTACAGTTTATGGGCGGGAATCTGGAGCTTCATCTGCGTGCGTCGTCCCCTCCCCGGCTCCAAGCCCGAGCGATACTCTCCCTGAGTTCATTTCTTGTTTCTCTCTTTTTTGTTTTCGCTTTTCGCTCCCGTTTCATCATTTGGTTTTATATATAAAAGAAATTGGGGGCTGACAGGTGAGGTTTTCTCTTTTGGTTTTATAGGAACTTTGTTTTTGCTGCTTCACGGCTTGTCTGAGACGACTTACCGTTCGGCGTGGCTACCAACAAGTACACTCGAGTCCGAGTCGCAGAGAGCAGGATAGAGATGCCGAGAATCGGCTGATTGACCAACTAGATGAGGAGTGGGAAGATTGAGTGTAGAGGAGGGGGATCATAGATGCGTGGTGTTTCTTTGTCACTGGGTGTTGTTGTCTTGGGGCCTGGATTGGGCTCGCATATCTAGAACGGACATCTTCGGAGTTTTAGGGGCACGATAATAGTCACGCGTTGTACTGGGCTTGAAATTGTTCGGTACTACAAAAAACATGTTAAAGTTGATCAAATTCCTCTTCCATGTCTGCATCTCTCTTATGTGATATATGAATATAATGTGATGTAGCTTGGTGAGTGCCATCAGTCTTCATTGTGCAAGTGTCTTGTCATAGCTGTTGAGCTACCCTGCACCATTACACAGACCTCTCGGCCGAGTCTTATCAATGCCTCAAGCCATCCACAGTGTCGGGTACCTTGGAAAAGACAGGTTCCCAATTAGGAGCATGTACTCCGTGCTCCTTTAAAGTATGGACTGTCAATGCGAGGTCTTGCAGTAGGCTAATGGTGTTCGCACGTTTGCTTCTCGAGCTGCGAACTAAAACTAAGCAGCCACACGCTGTAAAGCACCTATCATACCCCACCAAAGCAGCTCAGCTCAGCTTACCTTTAGGACACAGGTCCAAGCTAAAGACTTTTCTTTAGAGACGGTGTGAGCGGTACGGCCCATGCCTAGACGTTCCTAACCAAGGACACTCTATTCTCTTCACGTTTCCGGAGCCAAAGTTACGAGAAAACGCCACGCAGGAAATAGGGAGGCAGATCAAAGCCACATTCATGTAGCTGATGCCATTTTCGGGCAACGCGTGGGTTTGGACAAGCATGGCAGTCGCCCAATTGTCGTTGACGAGATAACTACATAAAAGAGATTTGAGGGGGGAACAAGATGGTTCGTGGGTTGGTTAGTTCAGGGGCCCACGTGTTGAGAGGACGTTTGTAGTGACTGCAGAGGAGAGACAGAATGAAGCCATCGCCAACGCCAATTCGCGGTTCATCAACACCACTACGACGTGGTTCGAATGAGCAAGATACCTACCTATCTACAGCTGCAACAGCAACAAATGGTCCCCGCTGAAAACGAGGCTGGCTAATGCAATGAAACATTGATCGGATCTCAGATCAACACGAGGAGATCTTCACAAGCCCCCCAAACGGGGAAACGAACCGGAAGCGCCGTTCGTTCCAATGGCCACGACATGGCATGGCATGACGCTCGCGCGCTTCATGCATAATACATATCGAATATGACCTGTTCTCGGAGATAAAAAAGTAAAATCTCAAATCTCATATTGTCCATCGACCCGGCCCCCGGGTGTCGGTTCGATCCTCATATGCACGCAAGATAAAACCGGGCTGAGAATGCAAGACAATCCAAGTCCAGCTAGAGAGACAAGAGCCACACTCCAAGAGAGGACTACCCCTGCAAGCCTTGTTTCCTCCCAACGGCTCTGGCACTTTTCTCACAACGGTCGTTGTCTCGGCCCCTGGAACCGAATGTCCGGGGGGGTAAAATAAGTACAAATCTGTTTTGATGGGATGCACAACATGTATTATATGCGATGCATCGCGGAATAATACACGCGTTCTTGATCAAGTGATTACATGAACAGTACCTCCCAGCAAAAGCCTGAGAAACAGGGTTCATGTAATTGACGAATTGTCTGTCTGCGGAAAGGATACCACCTCCGCAAAAAGAAACGTGAGTGACAGCATTTGCCGAGAACACTCCTTGCATAAGGACCCCCCTTCGCATTGTTTCCCCGAGAGAAGAAGAACCAGAGAAGAAGACGCCAGAAGCCAGAAGTTGCAAGAAAAAACCAGCTTTACTCCTTTCAGCCGAAGCGGCGTCAATGGGCGATAGCCTTCCCGTGACATTTTCACCAATGCATGTCTATCGTACCGTGTGTGGAGACGTAGAGGCCCTCGACTGCGTCATGTAAGGTATGTATGTATATATGTATGTGTGTATGTAGCTGGTTCGTGCAGCCTGGCGGCCTCGAGATAGCCGATGAGGCAAACTTAGCGGACCTTCGAACTCGGTCTTGGGATACGAATGGGCTTCGGTCGGGAGTATATTATATTGTTATGGCGAGAGAGTTCGTCATTGCCGTGGTGTTTATCTCCTGAAAAGGGAACTCGATCTTCTGCAAACAAGAATCTGTAACCCGTCAGCCCGTCAGCTCCTCCAATCTCGTCTCAGTCGAGTCTTCCCGAAGCCGACATTACCAGTTTGATGATCATCTCTGGCCTGATCGTCGTATTTCCCAAAATCGATATCTGCATCTGGTCTGATCGCTGCAGTTCCCGAAGATCAAACTCAAGCAAGTATGAAGTTGCATCTCATCACATGGCTTGAGCCACACACACACACGCATACCAATGACTACCAACACACCCTCCCTCTTCCCCCCACGACCGTTTTCTGTCTCACTTCGCTTTTGACACCCTCTACTACACCGCCCATCCTTGACGCCTCCCACGCGGGTTTCCACGCGGCTACATGACAAATGCCGTGAAACCACACAAGTCTGGATAGCTGGTATGCAGTTACGTCCTGACGAGGAAAGGCGGCCTTTGTAGTTTCGAAAGAAGAAACGTTTTTTCCTCTTCTATCTCAAACGATGAGATTTTTGAGGCGAAGAAGAAGAAATGAGAGGGAGGAGGAGGAGGAGGAGACAGCTGACGGGAGCGGAAAACGGGTTTCGAAGTGGGCGGTTCGTTCGTTCGTTCGTTTGCTTGGGCAAAACTTGACGGGAAAACAGGGGGTGTCCTCAACAAAGAAGTTAGCAGATGCATACTATGCTGTGAGTAGATTATGGTGAAGACGTCAATATGTGAGTACTTGCAAAGCGGAATATGATTCCCGGTGGTCTGGATGCTCAAGTGTTATGCTGGGTACCGAAGTCGCAGAGTGACTGACTTGTTTGATTTTCTCTGGCGAAATCGACCGGACAGGATGCCTGCAGGTACGCGTGCGGATAGTACAAAGCAGGATAAAGAGCTAATAAGGCCGTTGATGGTGGAATGATCCTTCTTTTGCGAAGTGTCTGCATTGGTGTTCTCATAGACGATATAGCTACTGCGTCTGCTTGGAGAGCCATCCAAATTCGGTTTGGGTGGAGAAGTTTGGTGTTGTCTGGTTCCTGGATTGCGGCGTGAGCACTAACCTATTCCATAAACCGCCAAAAGCGTTACATCGAGCCATGTCACTACAGATCTAGGTACCGGGGTTTCTTTGTCTTGGTGATCATTACCTCTGGTGTTTTTCGCTCTGTACCGCTTTATTAATGTACTACCACGGAGTTGAGCTGGCGGTATTCTGATATCTTGACATACACAGACCTCTCTCCCACGACGTGTTGTACATAATCACCGCTATTCCGGATAGCTGGCAAGTGTCACTACCTCCGTCTTCTGCAGTACTTGTGATTCGTCCTTTGTGCTGGTGACAAGTCGGTTTATGCAGTGCTAGATTACATCCATGTGTCAAGAGGCATCTCGCCGTACCATACTGTGATCTGGCTCTGCTCACAGCCTAGCAGTTGTACCTTGAACGAATATCCCAGTATCTCTACCTTAGCTACGGCCATTGGAGATCTCCGAGATGCATAGCCTTTACCAATATTTACACGATCCGCATGCAGCATGTTAAGCAACAGATCACATCTCACGTCACATCCAATACGCTTAAACCGCCACATCTCCTCTCTCCCCTCTCCCAATCTCTCCCCCCCTTGACATCACGACAACTACAAACACTGCAAAGTCCCGCTCCCACAAGCGGGTCGACATACCCGGGCTACCTACCCCTGTCCCCGCCTGCAGACGTCACTAGCTCCAAGATCCCACTAGGGCCCAGATCTCAGCTGCAGCTCAACCCACCCCTGCCAGCGATGTATGTATGTAGGTAGATATGCACAGGGCCGCTGGGCCTACAAGGTATCCAAGTCAGAGGGGGCAGTGAAGCTCCCCGTGTGGAGGCAAGTTCGCAGGTTTAGGTGCACGTACTCTTCCCTTTTGGGTCTTCTACATCCTCAATGTCATTAGGTCAGGGGGGGACTTTGTGATACTGTTCTTCCCTTGGGGCCGCTGAGCTTGTGCACTGCTCTGATTGTCTATATCAGAAGCTCATTTCCCTCCTTTGACCTTTGAATATCCATCAAGTCTGCTCCTGCAACCATAGCTCATTGTCTACTGTCCCCCTTCTCGCTTCTACTATTGTCCCTTGACCTCGTGCACTGCTGCATCTGCCTCTTCTGCTATTGTCCCTCCATTGTCGTCCATCTTCCCACTCCCTCATTGGTCCTGTCGTCATAGTTCGCACCTGTCTGGGGCCACTAACAACGCAGAGTGGCTCGTGACCCCACTGAGAGCTATTGCTTGTGACGAGTAGCAACAATACGTTACGTCTGAATTCCTATTGAGCACTTCCAGAGCTATAGGAACAATGGAAATGGTCAAATTCGAGGACGAGAGCTCTCTGGCTCGTCTATATAACGCCGAAACTTGGCCTGGCTTCTACTCTTCTTTCTTTCCTCCTCATCACTTCAGATCTCAGTCTCTGCCTCTGTGCCAACAACCATTTTTCTCTTCCGAGCCTTGTCTCTGCGCTTCGAGCTTCACCTCGAGTCAGACCAGTAGCCTAGGCTACTCAGGTATGCTTCCTACTCTCACACCACCTTGCCTTGGCACCGTATGTGCTGACTTGGACAAGATAACTTCACACACAACTTCCTCCCGAGTCCACCGCCATCAAGTCTCTCAAGCGATTATAGCTGCCCAGGTATGATTTCTCTTTTCCATGCTACAGGTCCTTGTAGTCCTCGTCTAACGTGAACAAGACTGCTTTTTACACCACCCACCCCCGAATCTGCCTCCGCCCATCCTCCCCTCCCCCAACATCTACCGCAGTCTTTACCAAGGTATGTTTGGTCTCCCATATCACTCCAACTTGGCCTTTTGCTGACTTTCCAAAGACCAGCTCGCTCCCATCAAGACGGAGCCTTTACCCTTTTTTACACACAACTACCTCTCGCGTCTCCCACCTCCAAGCCTCCCTTCAAACAACAGCTGCGCCTGCTGCGCCTCCGGTAAGTTCTTTTTACCTTATACTTTAACCTTTATCTTCAGTGCCCAAGGCTAACACTGTGCAGACTCTTCCACCAGCACACAGTTGCCATCTCCTCCCCTCTCCTCCGCCTCCTCCCACCACCAAGAGGCAATGTCTTGCTCTCCCGTCTCCGCCCCCGGAAAGTCTCCTGCTGCAGGAGTGGGAGTCTGGGTGGGTGCCAGCAGAAAGTCTCCTGCTGCATTGGGCGCGGTCCGAGAGTCTCCTGCTGCTGTAGTGGGAGTGTCGGTCGGTGCCAGAAAGTCTCCTGCTGCAGTGGGTGCGGCCCGAGAGTCTCCTGCTGCTGTATTGGGAGGCTCGGTGGGCGGCCCCAGCAGAGTCTTGCCGGATCAGACCCGGGCCCAGAAGATCCGCGCGGTGCTCGATGAGTACGAGATCACCTCCCCCGCCCTCATCCAGAGGCTCATGCCGCTGCCTGTCGGCCGAGAGGAGAAGCGAAGCTTCGTGCGGCTCCTCCGCCTCCATGGCGTCTCGTACGCCGACATCAAGACCCTCGGGGAGCTCAGCACCTCCCTCAGCACCCTCCGCGGCTGGGACCGCATGAAGAAGCCCCCCTCCGATCGCCCTCGCATCCCGCGCTGGAACGTTAATGACGTAAGTTGCCTACCTCTCTCTCTCTTGCCAACACTTTGAACTAACACGGCTAAACAGGTCGAGGTTATGAAACGGGCCGTGGACGCGGTGGTTGGGACGATGGGCTTGGGGTCCCCCGGCTTCTGGCGTTGTGTGGAGGAGGTGATGGCCAGGACCGGGGCCTCCCATCGCTTCTCTGCCCAGGCCATCGCGGCCAAATACGACAACAGAAGTCGGGGCGACATCGTCCGGCAGAAGGCCAACACCATGGCCCAGTAAATAGCTTTTTAGTTTCCTGGCGGCGGTTTAATGAAGAATAATGGTCCTACAAGGATGTAAGACCAGTTACCGACAACAAATGTCTTTAGTGATTTGCAATGCCTTATCTGATGTCTCGATGCGACTTGTTAGTACACAATGCCTTGAACTGTAATTCAACATCCTGGAGGACTGGACTGCATACCATTGATGAGTTTTGTTTACAGATCTTATCCAAACTGTAGTCAGATGACAAGTAGAACGATATTAGGTGCAAGCCTGACCCGGATGAAGCCTGCATAGAAGTATGGTGGTCACGAGAAACACGGGATAACAAAAAGCGGGTGGTGAGTCAAACACTGTTGGAGTATTGTATACGGATGAACCTTTGCCGCTCATTGCTTGGGTAGAGGCAGGATATACGGAGAGAGTGATCGACATCTATATAAAGGCATGTATGGGTGCTGGAAGCTATCGCGAGAGTGAAATGATTTGAACTTGATTGTTCTAGATTGCGAGTGAAGATGGGTTTGAAAACCCAAGTGAAGTGTTTCGATAGTTTGTGTTTGTTACTCTTTGTCCATCAAGTCCAAATAGTATCTTTACCCATAGCATCACTATCCCCGCTCTGCTCAGCCTCGTCCTCTTGTTCTTCATAATCGTCCTCATCCCTGACAGTCCGCCACCATCCTCGTTTCACTCTGTCCCTCCTATCGTTCTTCGTAATCGTCCTCATCCCTCACAACCTGTCGCTGTCCCCGTTTTACCCAGCTTCCCCCCTCTTGTTCTTCGTAATCGTCCTCATCCCGACAACCTGTCAACACCTCGACCTTCTCCAACTTAAGTTCTCTCTGCTGATTCAAGCTCTCGGCCACAAGTCCCAACTAGCAAGCTTGGACTTGATCAGGTAGTCTTGCTCTTCAAATCTCAGGCTCACTTCTGCAAAGGAAGCCATTTGGTCCTGAGATTCAGATGAATCCAGCATCGTTGACGGCGCCGTCCTGAGCACCATTCAAACTCCCATGCTCGGTGAGGTGATCTCAGCATGTAGCTTATGATCACCACACAGAGCTTAGTTGTTTAGATGATGCCCAGGATCGCGCCCTCAACGATGCTGGATTCATCTGAATCTCAGGACCAAATGAGACTCCTTCAGACGAAGCCTCATCATCCCCTTGCGTTCAGGTGTTAGTCAACTGATTCAATGAGGAACAGAAAATACTTAAATCACTGCCAGTTCAGAAGGCACCAAACAGGTCCTCTTGGAGGTCCAAGCTGTACTTCAGCGCGATTGCAGCATGCTTGAAGGGCTTGGACATGCCAGCATCCTTGATCGCAGCGTACTCCCGCTGCTTCTTGACGCGAAGGCCGTTGGCTAGGCCTGAAACCTGAGCAACGGGAGGTAACCTCTCGCCGCGGACACCGGAATGGTAGAAGCGGCGTGCTGCGGCTGGTGACCGCACGTCGAGGGATGGGAGCACCATACGCAAAGTTCGACGAAGGGGTCGCCGCCATGAAAGGGCTCTGTCCTTGGCGTTTTTTCTTTTTTGATTGGGTTGACAGAGCCCCTTCGATAAGGCCGGTGTTTTCGTTTGGGCGGCTTCCCCTCCTTGCTCCCCGAAATCACCTCCATTTCCACCAACTCATCAACCCCCCACACTTTTGCAAGAGCCATGGGGGAGCCACTCAGATGGAAGGGTTCCGTCCAGGACCCGTTCATAGTTGGTAGAGCCATGGTTGTTTGTGGTAGTGGACAGAGACCCTTCCATAGTGTCACTATCGTTTTCCTCTGTGGCTCCCCCCTCCTACTCTTCATAATCCCCTCCACCATTGACCAATACCTGATCTTGCAGACTTCCACCGCGTGCTGTTTTCACCAGCTCCCCAAGGAGACTGCCTCTGGGATTGGTCGTCCCCAGAAGAGATTTGCTGGGGAGCTGGTAGGGTAGGCTGGTTTGTCTTGGTCGAATTCGATGTCGGCTCCCGCCCACCAAGTTCTGTGTGGTGATTATAAGCTCTCAGCCACAGGTGTCAACTGCAAATGACGCATCTAGGTCACAACCCAGATTTGCTGGGGAGCAGACATCCCAGAAAGCTGGTTCATGAAAGCATTGCCCTCGGGGTTGGCAAGGAAGTCATGCAGTTCCGCAAGGCGAATACCAAGCTCCTCGGCAGCCTTCTACCGCGTGCCCCTCTGTGCAGCTTTGCAGGCTCCAGACCCCGCCAGTCCTCGATCTTCTTCTTCGCAGGTCAAGACCCGACCGAGCTTCGATCTTCTTCTTAGCAGGCGATTCTTCCACGGCGCTCGAAGCAATACCGGAGCCTGTGGGGCCTCCGATGGGTTCTATGTTACTTCCGGTGCGTCGGTTCTCGCGTTCTCCGCCGTATCGGCCACTGTCACGATGACGCGGAGACGCAGTCAGGGCTTGCCTGGACCGCCAGCAGATGGGCTCTGTGGATGACTGGCCTAAGCGGAAAGGCTCGTCTTTTTCGGAGCATCTTTTGAGAAGTGTCATTTTCAGTTGAGATAGCTGACAGCCGATGCTTACAGCACACGCCTTAACCCGTGAGGATGTGGAGGCTGCGGGCTTGCCGAAAACTACAAGCGAAGTTCTCCACCATTATCAAATGTGGTTGGTACACCGATGTCTCGAAGAACGTTGCGTAGCGTCTCGGGATCCTTCTTGAGAGTTTCCCACTCCAACTCGTTCTTGACCAGTGCTGTACCGGCAAGAAGGGTGCCATTGAGAGCGACGGTACCAAGTATATCACCGTCCTGGCTTTGGAGCTTAACGCCCTCTGCCAGGCGGGGGCAGACAACAATTGTATCTTTAGTCATGGCCATGTTGTAACTGATTCTTGTGGGACCCTCAGCGGGTGCTTCTTCAGTGTGGAGGGGATCTTTGGTGTAAACAGCAACAGCCCGGCAGGCTTTCCGGTAGAGTCGGAGATAGGTGGAGTGCAACTCCGCACCAGACATGTCAAGCTTGATGTCTTCGGCAAAGGCAGCAAAGGGAGCGATCTTGGTTTTGAGCTCATCGGCGAGAACAGACCAAGGAGTGTCAGTCTCGAAGCCATCTTTCATTCTGGCAATGGGTAGGAGTTGGATGTGACGATGAGGTTGGCTGGCACCGGAGTGGTCACCGCAGTTGAAAAAGGCAAAGAGGCCATCACCGCCGCCGAGTGTGCCATCGCGGTGGCCTTGTTCGGCTTGGGTTCTTCTAGCAGCTTCATATGCCTCAATGCAGGCGAGTGTGGCCTCGAGGTCAGACTCTTCGAGGACATGAGTTTGGGGCTTGAACTCTGTCGTGGCAAGAATGAAGTGCTCAGGAACAACAGCAAACTTGTTCAGCACAAGATAGTGGGAGGGCCCAAGATCTGTGACCTTGAGAGCGGGAAGTGGGTGCTCAAAAGGGTCAAAGGGCTTTTGAGGTTTGGTGAGGTCCTTTGGCGGCGGCTTTGGTTTGTTTGCCAAGGAAGGCGAGAAGCGAAGTTGGAACTGGTTTTCGTGTCAGTAGCGGTTCTATAGGATTGTGGTGCTCATTCATCCAGTAAACAAAGATAGGATGATACGTACAGGAATGGAATCAACATTGAGAATGGCGACTTGAGTGGGGAAATAATGCAAATCACCCTCTGAGCGAGCTCTTGTGAAAGTGGATTTGACAAGCTCAGGGAGGTTTGAGGGGGCTTTGATACGAGGCATGGCTGTAGATGTAGTGAAGTTGGAGAAGATGTGTGAGGCGAGGTGAAGTGAAGTGAGGAGGCGGAGATAAAAATGATGAGTGAGTGAAATGGATGGAAGGGAAGCTCCCAAAACTTGGAACTCGAGCTACCCATGTCTTGGTGAGATCCGTGGGGTGAGCTCGGCAAGTTAGGGCTCGCTCCGGTTGGCCCAAGAGTGTGTGCCTGGCCCCTCTCCCCCTGTCGTGGTCCCATAATTCTGTGTGAGCTCCCTGTAGCGTCCCGTCATCCTCCTTTGACATCACCCCCAACGCCGAAAGTCACTTTCAGCATGGCTTCTTTTTTTCATGCACATTCGTGAATAGATGCACTTTTTCGTTTGAATTTCGTTCCTCGCATCGCAATCTTCATATCTTCAAAATTGCATCAGAAAAGACAGAGTTCCCCACTCTCTCTGGCCGGATGAGACACTCCTGATTTCCCCTAGCAACGCGTTGCCTATGAGCAAGTTACTGCCTAGCCCTCTTCTATCATCTTCCCACACCTTCCTTCCAATTTGCAGCTCCCACACAACTGAGAAGTGCGAGCACAGAAGATAAAATCCCCTCTCCCCCCTCATCTCCCCTCCTCTTCCTTCCTCACTTCCTCCACCTCTCGCTTCTCCCCCTCCATGCGTTGGGCAATCCCTTTACCAGACACAATGAAGTAACAGAGCCAAACGCCTTTTGATATATTCTCTTTGCCTTCATAACCGAATCTCATCATTCTCATGCCTTGAAGCACGCTGCCTTCCACATCTACCTCTTCCCTTCGTCTGCTGCGTATATCAAGCGCCCAAGCAGAAAGCTACCATGCACAAAACACCATCTTCTCCCACGAGAGACGCGTTACATATCACCTCTACCAACCCGTCACATATAGCGGCCAAACGAGCCCTTCACGTAAGTACAAATCTCATATCCGTCTTTGAGTCTCAAGCCTGTGACTAGTTGGCGCCCAACTCGACATCGCTACGCGTCTTTTTCTTCCAAGCTAACAAGCATCACAGAAGCAAACAAATTCTTGCAAGGAAATTTCCTCTGCACTAGAGGCACAGATACCTCCACTCACGTCACGGGCACAAGACTCGCATTGACCAAAGAAACTTCTCTTCATTTCATCTTCCTCGCCCCCGTCACAGGCTCCCCTCCCACATGCTTTGCCTCAAAAGTTGGTAGCACATTGCCCAACTTGGCGACTTTTATTACCCAGTTCCCCCAAACAACAAGCATGATGAGAAGCACTTGGCTCCATCAACAACGAATTCTCGCAAGAGTGTCAGAAGTCACCTCCTTCTTATCAGAGCCGAGCTTGCGGCCTTCACCTTTCTACAAACAAACAGATTACCTTGGCTCAAGTTGCTCCCATCACTTCAGTCGGTAAGTTCTCGACCAGCAAAGCACATTGCATCATGTCATAATACTCCCTTACCCCAGGCTGGCGGCTAACTTCGGTGGACCCCAACTTATCATACAACACTTGTCATTTTACACGCGAAACAAAGAGGTAACTACATCCCACTGTACTTTAACTATCACACAAAAGCTGACAAATAGGTGTCCTAGGCGCAGAACCACCCCGATTATAACATAACAGTGGTGACCTTCCCACACTCTCTCCCCACGTCATACGACGGTGGGTGACACTCAGACCCGGACCTGGGACTGTACCCTCCTTGCGCTGCCATCATTCGATGCATGCAGGAGGTGAACCTCAACCCCCCCGCGCTTTGCTTGCGTCGGGTGATACCCTCCTTTAGTCTGGCCAGGTCGTGCAGACTTGGTGAGACTAAAGGAGGAGAATCGCGTGAACCGCCTCCGATACCACGAACTCCGAGTAAGTTACCCCCATTCCAAGACAAGCTCGTCATCTTATATTAATCCTGTTATCTTGTAGGAGGACATAATTGACGCGACCACCAGTCTTCACCCCTACTTTTAGTTCTTGTGGGCTGAGATCAATTTCGGTCTCACCTGTTGGTTCGCAGAGCAGGGGTGGAGGTTTGTGTGGTCGCAGAAGCTCCATCGTGACTAAGCCCACAGTAAAGGTGGCACTTCGCCCCTGTTTGTCTGTGGCTCAGCCTTGCCCTCATCTGCTGATGGCCCCCTCAAGGCAGCCTTGGTGAGCCTTGTCCAAGAAGATGACATAAGTGCTATTCCCTTGGGCCTGCCCTCGAGGCGCCTTGGTGAGCCTTGTCCAAGAAGGTGACATAAGTGCTATACCCTTGGGCCTCACCTCGAGGCACCTTGGTGAGCCTTGTCCAAGAAGATGGCATCAGTGCTGTACTCTTCAAAAGAGAGCAGAGTGTCGGAGAGGGAGCCGACGAAAACTGCAAGTCAGCGGAACGAGCCAAGTCTTTCAGAGTGGTGGAAAGGTATGAGGAGCTGGAATCAGCCCATCCCCCGACAAGCGGTTACAAGCCACACTCCTCTAGCTCCGGACAAACCGATTTCAGGGTGAGAGACTGGGGCCTTTATTGGTCGCAACAGCCGCATGTAGCCAGATGTTGGGGAGCCTATCCACATCATCATGGACAGGGCAACGTCCATGACTATGGACACCTTCGTGGAATTTGTTACCATGGACCGGACTGCGTAAACACAGGCATCCCCAGTACGCTGTCACGCCGGAGCGTGCAGTTTCGCGGAGGTCGACGACCCAGTACCCCTACTTTCTGTTTACACCTTCCCCAATCTTCTACATCTGCTCCTTTTACTCTTCATTACCATTCATCGCCATAACAATGTCGCCCCCAACCTTTGACAGCGATGCGAAGCGATGCGCTAAGACCATGCTGTCTGATGAGGAAGAGCCAGCCCATATAATCATGGATGGGGCTACGTCCAAGACCATGGACATTTTTGGGGAGCTTCGCAGCAGAATGATCCTGTCAACCTCACCTCCAGCAGGGCGCGCGATGCAAGCATCAGCTGTCAGGTCTATCAACTCAAAATAACACTCTCACCAATGCCCACCATGGACTTTCAGGGAATTCCGGATCATAGTATCTTGCTCGTGGTGGTATGGTAAGGGGAAACATTATTACTCTCACGCAAGTAGCTGAACTCAATCAATCATATACATCTCTGATCACCATGTTTGACCGAGTAAAGTGTTAATAGTTTGATGGCAAGCCTCACCTTGCAGTGGAGGGTCGCGTCTGCGAAGATGGCCTAGCACAGCATCAAGATAAAGGAGCTCCCCGCACTTCAAGCTAGCTCATCACTTGGAAGCCTTCCAAGTCACGGCCAACCAAGTTTCTCTGTGGGGGACCCCCCTTCAATATCACCAGCATTAACACCTGATGTTCGTCATCTGCAAGCCGTCGATCCAAACACTGATTTTCATCATCACGAATTTAATAGCGTAGCAAATACAAGAAGAACTTCCGAATAATCAAGAATTAAACGCCATGCCATCCATCGTACATATCAAGCATACGCCCTTGTTCGCAATCACTGATCCCGGCTGCTTGAAACCATGCCTTCAGCCTTTGAATCCGACAAAGCTGTCTTCTAAACCGTCTTCTTGTCCTCCTCTACAGGTCTGAGCATGGCAGGCATGGACCACTTGCCTTCATAAAAGCTCACAATGCCTACCTCTCGGAATCCCATTTTTTCGTAGAGTGGTCGTCCTGATACACTGGACTCGAGTGTTGCCGGGACTCCCTCCTCCTCGCAGCGGTCAAGGCCCCACTGGACAAGACGCTTTCCAATGCCGGTTCTCTGGCATTTGGGCGAGGTGGCTAGGAGGCCGAGACGCCAGCGCTCATCGGGATAGAACTTGTAGGCTTGCTCTGCGGCTGCTCCTGCTGCGATGCAGGCATCTAGTGCGATACCAGGACCTGCTTGTCGAAGGGAGAAGCTATAGAACATGGTCCACGCAGCTTCAATCCTGGCAATGCCTGTTTATAGGAGTAAGTTATGCTGCCATTCTGAGATTTTCAATGCCAACTCACGCTTGTTCCAGTTATCTCCCTGCCAGCTTCGAGCGAGATCACTGTTTCCACAACGACACCAAACTGCACAGGCAACAAACTCGCCCACTTCCCCGTTCTCTCTATGAAGACGAGCAGCGAGAAGCACAGAGCCTTTCCTACCGTACTCCTCGACGAGGGTCATACGCCACATGCTTCGAGCTGCTTCGGGATGTTCATGACGACCAGGGACCATGGCGCAGAACAGGTCGTCTTCCATGAAGGCATCGCAAATAAAGTCGACGAGCTCTTCCAGTTGCTCACGAGAGCTTATTCGAACGATTTTGAGAGCGGGTTTGTTAGGTTCCATTGTTGAAGATGTTCAATGCCGGACAGTGATGTGTGGAGGTGTTTGGCACTCAAGACAGCAATTGTTGGCTATTGATATAGTTTTAGGGAATATGAAATTAATGACATGCTTTTTAATCTCATTGCTTGTAGCGTAAAGAGGAATTTTGATGAGTTGTAGTCGTGTCAGTAAAAGTGATGAATGCGTGGTTGATGCCTTGTTGCCTTCGTATTCCAAATCTTGGCGCTTTCCGCGGCTTCCACGGATGCGACACCCCTGTCTCTGTCTCGCTGAGGCTCTGCCCCGTCATAGGCTTGGGTTGGCCTATCCTCCACTTACTGATTGCCCAACACCTCATTTCTTCTTTTTTCAATCACCAAACAGAAGCAAACATCAGACTTATTGATCAATCATGCGGCCAAATTGCAATGGATGCTACCTGGCAACGCTCACACCGACGTGTGAGATTACTGACTCCGCGCAGCGTCAAGCTTTGATATTCTGGGAAATCCTAACAGTTACCACGACCACCTCTGGGTCCAGATACTGGAATGTACCAAGGCCTTGGTCACCTTTATCAGAGATACTGCGTATAGTGGTGCCAGATCGTCAAACTCCTTCCAACGCGGGAGATCTTTGGTGACAATGCTGCCTTCAATTCCAGAACGTCTGTGCCTTCTTATGGCATGCGTTTTTGAAATACAAGAAGACTCTGAAGATTCAGAAACCTCATGTTGATCTTGGTTCAGGATGAGAAAGTGTGATCCCCAGTTGACTACCTACTTACCTAATTATCCTTGTGTATAAGATTAGTGCAGCAAGTGTTGCCCATATGTTCCCCATATTACCTTCTGTATATCTCAATTATCACCAGCTGACGGAAGAACGGCCGGCAGGTGTACAACCCCGAGTCTTGACTCTTCGTTCTTTTCTGACCCAAAACACCCAATCTTAGCACCCCACCAACTCGGACATTCCACCATGCAGACCTACGCGAATGCAATAGTTGAGTCCTTGCCCGCCTTTGGTTGTGATAAAGCCTTCGGCGTCTCTGGAACCAACATCCATCATATCTGGAAAGCCCTACATCGCCCAGATATCAAAGTTTACCACTTTCGCCATGAATCAGGGGCTGCATTTGCTGCGGCAGAGTATTCTATACTGACTGGCAAATTCGTTATTGTTTTCGTAACGAGCGGGCCAGGAATCACGAATGCTATCACTGGATTACGTTGTGCTCGTGCAGACGGAGCACGTATCGTCTTCATTGCTGGCTTGACGAGCGAGGAGACTGATCGAGCAGGTCCTCGACTTGTTCAGGAGACTTTTCCAATGGATGTGGAGGGGCTGACTGGACCAACTGTCGATAGTACACTCAGCTACTGTGTGATCGTCAGGGACCACTTGGACGTATGGCGACTGCGACAAACCTTGATGCGGATTAAACGTGATCCACTTGGGGGCGTCCTGGGTGTTTTCTTGACTGACGCCAAAAGCAAATCAATCATACCGCAACAACGTCCGAAATTCGAACTTATCCCATTCCCCTCTTTGTCCAAGGAGGCCCTTGATGTTTGCAAAGAGGTTGTTGAGATGCTTAAAACAAAGGGCTCTGTACTTTGGATCGGTTATGGTTGCCGCGGTAGCTCGTTTCTAGTCAGACAGCTTGCGGAACGATACTATCTCCCCGTTCTTGCTACGCCCCGCGCTAAGGGGATCTTTCCAGAGACCCATCGCTTGTATCAAGGCACAACTGGTTTAGGGGCATCGCTTAACCCTACAATGAGAGCTACTCCGCCTACAGGGGTCCTTCTTCTGGGATCTAAGGCAGCTGAGCTGAGTTCCATGTTTATCCAGGGGGGATGGGCCTGTACAATTTTCTACTGTGTTAGCTTGGAAACTTCCGAGGTCAAACGAAATATGCCCAAGAGTTCAGTTTTTATTGAAGCTGAGATCGGTCTCTTTCTTAAAGCCGTGTTGGAGATAAAGGTTCCTGGGCACAGAATTGTGAAGCCGCCCATACCAAAGGCCACTATCCCGCCGATTCCAGCTACATCAAAGGGACAGATCCACCCGTCAAGAATCATGTCTATTGTTCAGGATGTCGCGATCAATCGAGGTGGATGTTCGATCATCGCCGAAGCCGGAAAAAGTCTCTGCTGGACAGCCCATTACCTGAAATTCCACAAACATGGGCTCTATCGATCAAACCTAGATTCCTCTCCCATGGGTCACGCTGTCTGCGGTGTTGTCGGCATGGGTCTTGCGGACAATCACGCGGTGGCCGTTGTTAGTGATGCAGCAATGTTGAAGCAGTCAGAGGTGAGCACCGCCGTTCTATATGGATCGAAAGCCATCTGGCTAGTCATGAATGGCAGCCGATATGGTACTTTTGATCAACCGTCTCGAGCTGGGGGAGATGTCCCTCCTCCATATTGCATTCCTTATACAGACTTTGCGTTGTTGGCACGGGCAGTTGGGTGTGAGGGATCTACGGTTACAGGGGAGAAGGAGCTGCGAGAAGCACTTAAAGAAGCATTGATGAGAGATGGGCCTACTGTTATCAATGTTCTCATGGATTCTTCGCCCGTGGCATCCCTCAAACCTAAGAAGCATAGCTCACCAGAGATGCCCCTGGGTAGCACAGATAGCTGATACAACTATATTCACAAGGCTCACCAGTGAGAACGCCATCTTCTCAGAGATCAAAGTCTCACGGCTGTATTAGTCCACGTTTAGTCTACTACGACAGAACTCAAATGAAGAACATTAAGAGCAGTCAAATTTCTATGGTGAGTTCTCATTTCTCTAAAGACAAGATAGACATTTTTGAAATGAAGAAATGAATACATTGCAGAATGAACATGCATGATTGCCTCACTAAGAAGCTGAACAAAGAAGCCACGATGCTAATCTTTGAGACAGTCGAACACGATCACACCTAATATACTAGACCAGTGAACAAAAGTCGAAAGACGAGGTTAGTTTGAACTACAAATACTCAGCCTACTTCTTATGCTCAAGCCACATCTCTCAGCAAATGCCGACACCTAACAATCTCACAAAATGGACAGAGACGACCGCGAAGAGCTTTCAAAGTGCCTTTACTGGTCAATTCTAAGAATAACCGCTCCGCCTCGATTGGAACTGCCTGAACCCAGGTTTGAAATCACCCGCTCCGTCATCGAGAAAAGTCTTGCCCTGCTCGACCCGGAAGATTTCTTGTGCCAGGCCCTCCTATATTACCAGAATTACCTACAGCATAAAGAACTGCGTAAGCACGAAGATATGGTTCATTTTGAGATAGCTAGTCGTCTATATGCCGATATAAGAGGGAATCCGATCGAGAACATCCTACTAGAGTATACGACTGGAAACTGGCTGGAAGAGCTATTAGGAACGAGTGGCGACCAAGCGATAGACGCTGCATCTACGGACTACCATGGATCTGAAAATCAATTGACAACTGACATGGACATAGATATACCGGAGTCAGGAACCTACCAGGCCTCAGTTGTTGAGTTGCTCAACGAAGCAAGAAGTGAACCTCAAGATCCGACGCAGACAGCTCGGAAGCATCATCTAGACGACGGTTATGATGGTGATGAGGGTTCTTTGCAAGGAAAGAAGCGGGCGAGAATCTTCCAGGAGTCGTATGAGTGAGGGATTAAGCATGGATACTCAGCTATCATTTAGCAGGAGGGTGCGCATAGTCTGAACTAAAAGATTCGAGACATTTTTTTTGTATGGCTAGATCATAGATGGATAAGTATATGTATTACTGGGTTTTTGTACGTTTTGAGTAGAAAGTATGGGTAGTGAGTCAGGCTTATTCATGATATGTGCAGAAGAACAGGGTACCAGCATCTGTGATCCCTGACGATGATCAATCTAAAGAGATGACACCTTCTTCGGATTGGTTCCGCCCCTAAGCCATTTCTGGGTGTCCTACAGCTTGGCTTTGTCCTGACCATAATTCCCGGGAGGCCCGGAAAGCCTCAAATAGCTGTTCATGACATACGATGTGTCCAAACTGGGCTTATGCAGCAGTGCGGCAATTCAGGCCTGACAGCAGAGCTTGAGGCCTGCGCTTCGTCATTTGACAATGTGATATGTAAGTATGAGCTACAATCCAAGCTGAACAATCTCTACACCCCCTTTTTTTGATAGGACGGGGTGAGCGGGGCCACGCAATATCAGATATCGATAGCTTGGCCAGCTTTTAAATGACGCTTCTTCATTGGGTTACGATTGGCATCCTTCTTTGGGCACCTGCAGATCGCCAATCAGCTGTTGGGCTCCAAGCTGTCTTTCAGCTGTCTTTGTTTCTTTGAGACGTATACACGCATGTTCAATCACACGTCAGATCACTTACCTGCAGGAAGGACGGGTAGTCTGTCGCTTTATTGAGACAAGTCTTCACATGCTACTGCGTAGTGACCTCTCATTACTCTTGGGTCGTCACTAGAGCTACTTTATATCGCGTACTGAAACTGAACTTGAATGGTTGGTCTTTTCACTCGATGTGAGCATTCAGCTAGATCCCAGTCGACCAATCAGTTTGATCATTAGAAGCTCTGGTACGCGTTCCCTTCCCATCCTGTTGTTAGCCAGCGAATATGGGCGGTCCTTGGTTTACGCGCTCAGACGAGCACAATCAAAGGAACCATGATCATCCAAATGATTCGAGTAACCCGGTGGAGGTCGGCATGGCTGCTGAGACTAAAGATATCTACCGGAAGAGCAGCTGGGACCCTTGGCAAGAGTGGACGGACGAGGAAATCGGAGTCGATGGAAGATCATCCCAAGCCTCAGCCAAATACGCACTCATTGTCCGCCGCGAAAAGGAACATGGTGAAATTGATGAATCAGTCCTCTCGCTGCATTCTATCACAGTGCAGAGCCCACTGCTCAAAAAGATTCTCGGTCCGGTTTTCGAAGGCTACAAGGGTATCAACACCAACCTCAAGAAGCTCGAGTTTCATGCGCCTTTTCGAGAGTTTTTCTATAGATGGGATGAGTTCAACCAAGCCGACCCAAGAAACAGTTCAACTGATTTCTCCGAGGAGTGTTCCCATTACAAGCTTCTGGCAGATATCATACAAGCCGAGATCAAGCCACGCATCGAACAAGCCTCGGATCTTTTGGATAATGGCGTCATATCCTTTGACTATGTGTGGACACTCTTTGAGCCCGATGTCGAAGTCTACACCAGGATCGAAGGTCGCGATAGGCTGTTCAAGTTGAGTAGCGGTACTTACTCCAAGACGCCAGATGGAACTGTGGCATACGTGCTTGGTGTGCGGTTCATCGACACCGATGGAGACTCCTTCGGGTACACAGACACAACCTTGACCATATCACCATTTGAGAACGTCATACCCATCCTGGAGCTAGAGGTGATCCCGGCACGTCTATGTCCCGATTTCGATCAAGTTAGAAAGCGACTCGTGCAGCGTGGTCAACTATTTGAGAGCTTGGAAAGCATCAACCACAAGACATATTCTGGTACGTATAGTCTGTCTCACACGACTTCAGGGATCTCAAAGCAGCGTAATGTATGTCAGAACCTCCTTGATTCCTTCTTCAGTGTTCTAACGGCCGTGTAGGTGGCAAATGAGCGGATTATCATTGACTCCAGAACATTCTTATGGTTCAATCGCGGTACTGCCGGTCCACTTCACCCACTTGAGGCTTCTAAAAGCTCTGTGTTTCGTGGCAATGAGCTACATCATGATAAATCTGTTGATTCTCTCACTTATGGGCCTCTACCAATAAGACCATACGCCAAAACGGGTTTGACCAATGGCTCACAAAGCTCAAGTACGTATCCTGATCTCGGAGCAGTCTAAAGGCCTTTTGCTCCAGGAGTTGGAGCCTTGGCTAGATTGGTTGACAGAAGCTAATCGTCTCATAAGATGTATCCAACAAAAGACTCTCCGAAAACCAGTACGCGTTATGTACGAACGTCGTGAAAGGATTCTGCCTGAAAACTAAAGAATGGGGTATGTTGGCTCAGAATACTTACCTAATACCATTTTCTCACGGCAAACTTAGGATTATTCGACATTGAGCTCGTCAAAGACGTTGTGTGGAACTCGACTGCTTTTGATCAGCTAGTGCTGCCGCACGATTACAAACGAATCATCCAGGCATTTGTTGGTGCTCAGATGTCTGGCTTAGACAATTTTGATGATGTAATTCAAGGTAAAGGTAAGGCTAGAAATATGAAATGAAGACTGAGTTCGACTGACCAAATTTAGGAAGGGGGATTATCATGCTTCTGAGTGGGGAGCCGGGAACTGGGAAAACACTCACAGCTGAATCTGGTAATTACTCTGGTCAGATGGGATTCGACGATACGTTACTAACATCATCTCCTGTCAGTTGCCGAGATCATGCAAAGACCACTTTACAATATGAGTGCTGCTGAGTTGGGGGATGTAGCCCAAGAAGTTGAACAGAAGCTAGACTGCGCTCTTGAGCTCTCAACAAGATGGGGAGCAGTCCTTCTTCTCGATGAGTGTGATGTCTTTCTTGAGTGTCGAACTACGTCCGATATCAAGCGAAACAAACTCGTATCGATTTTCCTTAGACTCCTCGAATACTTTGAGGGTGTCATGTTTCTGACGACCAACCGAGTTTCAGCTTTTGATCCGGCTTTTGAGTCTCGAATTCATCTCACTATTCACTATCCTAATCTGGACTACACGAGTAGACTACACATCTGGAAGACATTTGTGAATATTGGCGACGATGAAAGTAGTCTTTCTGAAGATGAGCTGGATGAATTGGCAAGTGTTGAGCTCAACGGGAGACAGATCAAGAACGTGGTCAAGACGGCAAGACTTCTTGCAACGCACGAAAAGACCTACCTGGCTATGAGCCATATCAGCGCAGTTCTAAGGATCAAAAAGGGGCTAGCAGGAGGGTCATAACGTGGGATTTGGGGGGATCCTAGAAGTGACTCTTCCAATAAATAGGGCAGAAAGAAATCCAAAACTTTAGTCAACTACGACAGATGTGTTATTTTCAGGTTAGACTTGTGGGTGAGGGCTTAGCAACTGTAACAAGGCTCACGAGAACGAAGGTCATCTATTGAACACCGCAGGCTTTATCTATAATTGCATCCTTTTTCATTCTGATTATCGTACTTGGGTTCCTCCAGAGCCTCTTCAACCCACAGCCATAGTCTCCTGTCTCCAATAAACCCCGGGTTCATTTCAGACATTAGCGTTAGTTTCCTAGCCACAGCCAACCTGTCCAGTTCGTCTCCAGAGAAGACCTCTTTCTCACGTGCCTTCACTTCGTCTTCTGTCAGATCATCTTCCTTCAGCTTGGCAAAAAGCTTCTTGTTACTTGCGGTCATGGCCCGCTGACAAAACAGCCATCCATAATCTCTTGAGTCCGATGGATTTACAAGCTTGGTCTTGTAAACAAGATCATACAATCTTCGGAACAGGGGAAGATCCTGACCGGACAGAAGACGCACGACGCGAGAAAAATGCCATATCATCTCAGCTCTCTCCCACATATCTCGGCTGATGTTTGGGGATCCTTGAGAGAAGCCGGCCTGAAAGGCAGCAGTGAGAGCTAATGAAGGTGGTTTGGAAGAACCTGCGAGCCCTGGAGTCGCTAACAACTCAGTCATGGGACCTGTTGTAGCAGAACCCCAGTCAATAATGCATGTGATATTTAGATCTTCATCGACAAATATGTTTCCAGTGTGAAGGTCTGGGTGTGATATACTGAAAGTAGTCAACTCAGACGATAGTCGTGGTACCATTTCCTCTAGTATCTGACCTGCAATGCAGTAGTCCAGTCGATTCTTACTACCCTCGAGTTTATCGCCGACGACTATGAAGTCACCCCTTCTATCCGTAGCCGCCCTAAAGCTATCCCATGTCGGATAGTCAGCTGGTTTAGGCAGTGGCGAGAAGAATAGGTAAGGTGTCAGTGATAGCTCCTCTGCATGAGAAGTAAAGGCTGATATCAAAGACCGAAGGTATACAGGTTCCTCTGCAAAAGGACCCCGTTCGATTTCTTTCTCGAGAGAGTCTCTCGATTGCCAGGTGAGAACAGGAGACAGACATTCACCAACTAAAAAGCCACCGGTATCATCTTCAAGTAACGATCCAATCTTAGTGAAATGGACCTTTGAAAGACGAGACATTATGGCACCAAGCTGATTCATCATTCTCTCTCGGTCTGACTCTGAGAGTGGCAGCTGAGAAATGGGATGTCTGATATTTGGGGGCTGGATGACAGGCTCTGTCCAACGATAATCTGACAAGGGACGACCAGAAGCTTTGCTCTGAAGAATATAAGGTATACCGATATCATTCTCGTGTGTACCGCTGCATTTAATGTCATCATAGGAATTACTTATTCTGCTTAATTGCATCTTACCTATATGAGTAGACTTTCGGAACGGGAATTTGACAATGGGTTTCAAGATATTTCAATGTACTCGCTTCACTTATGAGTATCTTGGAGGCAGTTTCGTCTGAGAACATATGTGTGTCGTAGCGCGGTGACCGAAACACCCACTGAACTCCATCGTCAAAGGTGATGAATATAACCCAGTTCAAGCTACCGCTCTTGGGGCCCTGGGACTCATCGCAGGTACATGATCGGCCTCGAAGTTTCTCTGCGAGCAAAAGAAGGGCTTCCAGGTTAAACTTTGCCCATCTGGATATCCTAGGCCGAGACGGTGGAACGGGCATCTTATTTGGCCCGTAAATATGGGCGGTTCTTTGTTGTTGGAGAGTGAATGGAAGCTTGGGGAGGCATGTTGGGGATGTGCAGTGGTCACGTGGTGGTTAAAAATAGAGAAACAAATATCACGGTAGTTAATTGCAGAACAGCCACGACCAACAGCAGCATCAGCTTGATCATTTTTCATGTAGACTAGTTTTCCCATCTCATTATCTTAATCTCATGCAGATTACATCTTGACAGAAACTCGAAGACTTTATTAAATCAGGCTGCGAATCGAAGCGTGGACCCTTGGTGGCCCTCCAACTACCAACATGCAGCCTTCGCTTTTTTATTAGTTCCGTGGAAGACTTCGGCAAATAGGACCTCAGATAAGTAGGTACGTTATTAGATGCACAGAAAGGTTGACATCATCAGATCGACACTCGCTAAGTCGTTCTACCGTTATAGTCTCCACTCCTCGATCTCAATAGTAGCAGCTCCAATCAGGACAACACAAAACCTCATTAATGCAACCAAGACAGCCAATGAGATTCTCAAACCACACCACGATGTCGAATTACACCAAGACCAAGATAAAAACTTCCGAACCTGCACGTGGATTGCAACCAACGTTAGCATTCGATGCTTACAATCCTTTTCTTTCCTACTGGTCACTCAACAACGTCACATCGCTACCTCTTTCGTTGACTGTGACACCAAGGACCCAGTTACACCAGGCCAGGGCCACAAGAGTGGTGATGCAATACACAGGACGAAAACGTGTACAGGCCTGGCCAGTTTGTTGGCTACCGGCATCTCGGCGGCAACATGGACGATAACGGAGGCGGGGTTGGGATGAAGCTCGTTACAAGCTTAAAAAGAGACATATACGCTGGATAAGCTTGTTTCTTTGTCTGCACCAACGGCTTTTGTCATAGTCAATATGAAGTCTGCTGTGATTCTCTATGCTTGTGGCCTTCTGGCTACAGCTGTGACAGCTGAGTTCGACGGCAACTTGAACTACGCCAGTCCATCTCGTCGTCATGCTCGTCTTGGAATCGATGTTCCGTTGGTCAAGCGTCGATCTCTGAAGCGCGGCAACACTCCTTATGATCCTTCTCAGCTCAACTTCACCCACGGAGTAGCCTCCGGAGATCCTTGGCCTCAGAGTGTCATCCTCTGGACCCGTGTTGCACCCTCCGCTAAGTCTGATGAGAGTGAGAATGTTGTGAACGGCACCGCGGGACATTACAGTCATGAGACTGAGAAGTACATCAAGGCTGATTCTCATCCTATCTGTGTGGAGTGGAAGGTTTATGAGTCCAAGTCTGCTTCTGGGAATGGGAAGACAGCTGCCAGTGGACGAGCTTACACTACCTCTGATATCGATTACACTGTCAAGGTGAGCACGGTCTTTTGAAAAAGAGACTGAGGTATCTTGACTTACAACTTCTAGGTCGAAGCTGATGGCTTGAAGCCTCTCACCACCTACTACTACCAGTTCAAGGTCTGTGACTCGAATGTCAAGAGTCCTGTTGGCCGCACCAAGACCGCTCCTACCGCCAACGATGACGTCTCTGATCTGAGCTTCGCTGTGTTCTCGTGCAGCAACTATCGTAAGCTCACAGCTTCCTTTGATAAAATTGGGAGTCAAGACTAATCCTTTCAGCTAACGGCTACTTTAACGCTTATGGTAACGCCGCCAGAAAGGATGAGCACGACTATGTCATTCATCTTGGAGACTATATCTATGAGTATGGAGCCAATGGGAGCCGGGCCAGCCAGCCTTCTACAGAGATCTTCACACTTCACGACTACCGAACTCGCCATGGACAGGTTGGTCACCCCGCGGCCTGACTTTTTAGAGGGAATTCGCTCATATGAACATCTCACTAGTACCGCACAGATCCCGATCTGCAGCTTCTGTCTCAGAGCTTTGCTTGGATCCCTACTTGGGATGACCACGGTAAGTTCCGCGGTCATATCCCCAGGTCTGTCTGACAATGCATAGAGTTCGCCAACAACGGTTACAGAGATGGATTCTCTGGTCTTAACAATACCGAAGAGTCCTTCTTGAAGAAAGGCCGCAAGGTCACCGTCGACACTCGAAAGGTTAACGCTGTCCGAGCTTACTTTGAGTGGATGCCCATCCGGTAATAATCAAAACGAACCCTCTTGCAAGCATCAACTAACTTACTTATCAGCCAAACTGATCTAGACGACGGCCTTCGGGTCTGGCGATCTTTCCAAATGGGCAAGCTTCTAGATCTGATCATCCTCGACACACGAAACTACGACCGCAGCATCACCAGCCTCGACTGGAACGACAACTACATCGACATGATCCGAGATGATCCCAGCCGCACTCTCATGGGAGGTCGTCAGGAGAACTGGTTCTATCGATCTCTTAGTAAGTCTAAGGACCGAGGTGCTGCCTGGAGAATCGTTGGCAACCAGATCATCTTCTCGCGTATCACCGAGGATTGGGGTAATGGCGAGGTTCTTCCTGGTGATAACTGGAGTGTAAGTCACTGATTAGTCTTTTGGTTTTGCTCCAAGTACTGACCTTTGAAGGGCTATGTCGCCAACCGAAACCGCACTCTGGAGCATCTGTACGACAACGATATTGGAAACAACATCTTCCTCGCTGGAGACAGCCACCAGAACTGGGTATGTATCATCACCATTCTCATCCCAACTCAACTGATGTATGACAGGTCTCCGATCTCGTTTGGCTTGGAGCCAAGGAATACGACAACAAGACAGGTGCCGGAAGTATTGGTGTCGAGTTCGCTGGAACTGCTGTCAGCTCTAACGGAGTTGGTGGCCCTATCGAGCCTGCAGCCGGCAAGGCTGCTCGCGCCAGAGTTCAGAAGAACCCTGAGCTTCAGTGGCAAGAGGGTTATTACCGAGGATACTTCATTCTGGATGTGAATGCTAAGCAGGTCTCGTCCCGATTCTATGGTAAGATTCAAACGCCCGATCACTCACATGCGTCTCACTAACACCTTCAGGCTCTCCTTCTGTTGCCTCTCGCAACTCCTGGGATATTCCTCTGGCTAACTTCACCGTCGTTTCTGGTGACAACCACTTGAAGCGACCTGTTGCTGGTGGTCGCGCCGAGTCTGGTGCTCTTCGATATGGAGAGGTCAAGCACACAAATCTCACTCTCAACACTGAGACAGGCGAGTGGAAGAACGTCGGCTTTGACACAATGTACGTCAAGCATGATTAAGGAATTTCAAAAGTTAAAAAGGACCATATAATTATGAATCGGCTATTAAACAAAGCCTAAGTAAACCAATTTCAGTTTTGAATGCTATATAAGAACTAGAAGGGGACGAAGCATTTTGGGGGTAATAAAGAAGTAATAAGCCAAATAGTTTATCATCTTAACCAGCTCTCCAATCCCTCTAGCCCTCGTACTCCTCAGGCTCACCCTCACCCTCGTACTCCTCAACCTCGTCGTCAATCTCAGCATCCTGGTACTGCTGATACTCGCTGACCAAGTCGTGCAAGTTGGACTGGGCCTCGGTGAATTCCATCTCGTCCATACCCTCGCTGGTGTACCAATGCAAGAAAGCCTTGCGACGGAACATGGCGGAGAATTGGTCGTCAACGCGCTTGAAGATCTCCTGGATGGCGGTGGAGTTTCCGACGAATGTGGCGGCCATGGGGAGACCTCTGGGGGGGACAGAGCAGACGGAGGTTTGCACGTTGTTGGGGATCCAGTCGACGAAATACTCTGAGTTCTTGGTTTGCACCTTGAGCATCTGGTCTTCGATCTCCTTTGTCGATAGCTTACCGCGGCTAATCTCACGTTAGTCCGTCTCATCTCATGCATTTTTTCAAAATCAAAACTTACAAAATCGCGGAACAAGTGAGGTATCGACCGTTGCGGAAATCAGCAGCAGCCATGACGTTCTTATTATCGAAAATCTGCTGAGCAAGGCTGGGCACGGTAAGATGTTGGAAACCCTGCATCTTGCGACCGGTCAAAGGCGCAAATCCAACCATGAAGAAGTGAAGTCGAGGGAAGGGAATCATGTTGACGGCCAACTTGCGCAGATCAGAGTTGAGCTGACCGGGGAATCGGAAACATGTCGTCACGCCAGCCATAACTGTCGAGATCAGGTAGTTAAGATCGGCGTAAGAGGGATCAGCGATCTTCAGGGTCTTCTCGTAAATGTCGTACAAAGCCTCGTTATCGATACAGAAGGTCTCATCGGAGTTCTCGACAAGCTGGTTCAATGACAAAGTAGCGTTGTAAGGTTCGACAACTGTATCAGAAACCTTGGGCGAGGGCATAACGGAAAAAGTAGCCATCATGCGATCGGGGAACTCCTCACGGATTTTCGACAGGAGAAGCGTTCCCATACCGGAACCGGTACCACCGCCGAGAGAGTGGGTGAGCTGGAAACCCTGAAGATGGTCACAGTTCTCAACCTCGTGTCGCACAACATCGATGGCCTCCTCAACGAGCTCAGCACCTTCGGTGTAATGACCCTTGGCCCAGTTGTTACCGGCGCTGGCATTTCCGGCGACGAAGTTGTCGGGGCGGAAAAGCTGGCCTAGGGGCCCGGCGCGGATGGCATCCTGAGGACCGGGCTCAAGATCCACAAGGACCGCGCGGGGCACGTACTTATCCTTTGTGGCCTAAAGGGAGACGGTTAGTGAAAATAAAAGACGGTGAGTGAGAGGGGGAGACACGCCTCGGCAAAGTAGACGTCGATGCGCTCTCGCTGCTGGTCGTCGGTTCCGTTGTATCTTTGAGAAATTGTTAGGTTGAGGCAAATAAGGGTCACCGACTCTTCATTTCACTCACGAGCCGCTGCCGTCAACGCCATGCTCCCCAGAGACGGTTTGCCTGATAAATAGTCAGTCTCTACACTCAAATAATCGCCTACGGTAGCATTTACCAGAAACTGGAGCCGACTTGGTTGCCCTGCAATCATCAACTCAACACATGTCCCTCAAAGCAGAAAATTTGGTTGGGTGGCCCTTACACATTGGCCGACTTGAACGTGCACCTGTCAAACGGGGGTTGGTTAGCCTCAGTCAAACTCAAATCCGACGGCGAATAAAGAGAAAATTCAGGTCTCACAATCTCACGCATTTTTGCTGACGTTTGCCTCTTACGCGTACGGGGGTGCGAGTACGTTACGTGGTGAAATTATCGAGGAGCTGACTTGAGGAGGCTTTGCCAAAGGACGACGACTTTATTGACCAAGTGGTAAAAATGGTGCCTAAAAAGTAAAATGAGTGAGAATTCCGGTGCCTGGCGGTGAAAAGGCGGTAGCCTTGGTGTGGTCTGATTATGTACATAAATTGGCCTGCCCAAATTTTGCTGATATGGAATAAGCTAATTTCATTTGTGCCGGATAACTGAATAATTGTGCGCTGTCGTTTTTGCCGAAAAGTGGTCTTTGGGTTGCTGTGGTTGCTGGGTCTTACAGCAGGGTTGCCGCTGAAGGCAGCCGCATTTTCTGCGCTGTGGAGATTGAATTGATAGGCGCTTAGGGGTTTCTCTGGCTCTAGGCTACCGTATTACGGGGGGACACAGCGCATTTCTGATGGAGGGGTCAAACACGGGAGGGATCTGTTCTGCTTTCAACGATATCAGGGCTGGCGGAATTTGTTTGTTGTTGTTATCTCGCTTCTCCTTTTGTGGCAAATTGGATTGTTGACCCCATGCAATTTGAGGTCCAAATTACGCCAACGCTCCAATGAGCTAGCTGCAATCAAGCCCCAGATATGTTGTCCTGAACTAATTCCCAACTAGCAGTGGGCATACGGTGTAGATTTCACTAGCTAGATTATGTTTCAGGAGTATGCATAATCTACCCGTCTTCCAATTGTGCAAATAGGACAGATCGCAGTCAGGGTCAAAATTACTGGATGTCTAGGGTAACCACCCCAACATCAAACTCGTTGCTTCAATGTCATTGTGTCAAAAACAGCATCATGGTTCTTTCAATTTCGTGTCTGTGTTTAATTTATACTTTTGACCATTTTGTTGCGTTATATAAATTGCCGAATCTCAACACCAAGTGACTGCTAAGCGTTCCTTTTAAATAGCGACAAAGCTTTCATGCGCCAACGTTGTTATCGGACGTCAATACTCCGTCTTATGTGAAGATGTAGCAAAGACTTGGCAACGGAATCATGCCGACTGGTTGAGATTGAATAACAGCTGACACTTTTAACTAACAAGTGCGGCTGAAAGCCGAACATAGCTTGGCTTAACCGCCACAATACCCATCTTCCAGTATCACAAACCCCTCATCAACAACACCTCCAAATGACAGATTCAAGAGCCTGGGTATTTTCAGAGCGAGGTCTACCGTGGGACGTCCTCAGTCTTACAAGTCAGCCAATCCCAACTTTACCACCTCCTCTTCCCCTGCCCAAAGATGTGCCGAGACCAGAAGAATGGATTGTTGTCAAAGTGGCCTTTGCAGGCTTGAATCCAGGTGCCATATTCCAGATGACTCTGGTTCCGCCATTCATTCGAAAGCCAACTTGTGTTCCTGAGATGGACTTCTCAGGCACTGTGATCGATGTATGGCATCCTGAAGATAAGTCTGGATCAGTACAGTCGAAGAGATTCAATAAGGGTGACAAGATTCTTGCCATGTTGCCAGCCAGCCATACTCTACCCACGGGAGCAGGTGCTTTAGCTGAATATGTCAGAATTCCAGCTAGATATGCTGTGAAGAAACCAGAGGGCGTGAGCCTTGCTGATGGAGCTGGTTGCTTACTACCAGGCTTGACAGCACGACAGCTTGTGAACGAGTCCAGTGCAAAGACAGGTGATCGGGTTTTAGTCAATGCAGCAAGTGGCGGAATCGGCTCTCTGGTGTTGCAGATGCTCCGAAAGGTTGTAGGGCCTGGAGGATGCATCGTTGGCATATGCAGCGGCAAGAATGTCGAGTTAGTCAAGAGTCTTGGTGCGGATGAGGTGAGTTAAGCCCTGTTTGAAATGTAATGCCAACTAACCCGCTTCGCAGGTTATCGACTATACGCAACATGACCAGCTTTCTAAGCACCTCGCCGAAAGATTCTCATCAGAACCTTTCAATACCATCATCGACACCCTAGGTCATCAAGCCCTATATCTCGCCTCACCATCCTATCTGGTACCCGAAGGCAACTATTCCTCCGTCGGCATCAAGCCACCCACCTTCTTCGTCCCGGACTTCCTCCGTGCTGTGCTGCAGATGAAGCTCAACGAATGGTGGCCAGTATCACCATGGCTCGGTGGTGTTGGACGGAGATGGTTGGGTACCTCTATGATGAGCCCTACACTTGATGATCGTCAGGCTGTCGCGGATATGTTGGGCCGTGGCGATATAAAACTGGTCAAAGACAGTATCTGGCCATTTGAGGAGACCAAGGAAGCTTATAGGAAGCTCGGTGGGCTTCATGCTAGAGGCAAGATTCTTGTCAAGGTAGATGATCAAGTTGGCGATGATGATTGTTAGATGTGATTCGTCCAGAGGTTCTGATAGTCAACTCCCCTCTTCGTTTCGCAATTCAATTCAAAATAACGAAAATATCTCTTTGAAGTTCTCTTTGATATGTTATTGTCTTTCTTGGCTAGTCACCTAGTACCTACTCTTTGGCCGCAACAGACCACAGGCCTTTGAGGCTTTGGTTGATCAAAGAGGCATTGCATACACAAGGCTAGTGTGGGGATGACCTCAACATTGAATGAATATCTTACATACACGAGCAAGGAGTTTTCCACAATACTTTGAGTATAAATTTGCCTTGGTATCTCACCTTAGTAGTTTTGACTCCTGGTCCCTAGCACAGCCTTTCTTCTCTTCACTATCCTTAAGTTTATACCGGACACTTCTCGTCTCTTCGACTCTAAGTTTATGTCAAATGTTCCTAGCCTCCGCCATGGCTTCTGTACCCATCAAGCCAATTTTCATCTGCGGCAATGACGAGTACCGCATCAGACTTCTCTCTGTCAAGCTGACCGGCTCCTTCTCCAACACAGGATATATCTCTTCAATGATAAAGCCTGTTACAGTCTTCTCAGTCCTGCCATACAAAGGGAGTGCTATCGGTTCTTCTCCATCACAGTCTCCTGGCCCCAAAGAGATCCCGGGCCTTCTTTTGATCTGTGAAACCCTAGAGAAACGGCAGGATTATCATTACAACAGTCCTCGGCGAGTCGTCATGCCTGTCACAGTTTTCTTGGAGAATGGTGTGAGTGTAGAGGCTGACACTTATGTATTTCCCGTTGCAAGTATCGAAGAAGAATATTGGGACGACTGGGAGTTGCATGCGTGTGTTTCCTCTGAGAGACCTTATCCCATCTCTTACCCAACACAAGGGAAGCCGGTCATAAACATGCCAAGTATCTCTGACGAAGACTCCACTGACGACTCAGTGAACGCAGATCTGCTCATCAAAGACCCAAAGGTGTGAACAGCTCTAATTGTCGGGTCTTTTCATCTCATGCATTACCGGGAGTCCATCTGAAATGGACGTTGAATGACCATTTCCAGGCAACTATCATGACTCCTGGGTGCTATAACAGCTACCCGCCATTTCGATCTACTTTGGTGACTGGAACTTGTTTAGAGACAACCCATCGAATAGCTACTTGATGGGCATAACTACCTACTGAGTGACCAGAATAAATTATTACTACTTCTGCCTTTTCACTTCAAGGATCACGTCCTAGTATAAGACAATAGAACCGCTTTTGAATCGACCGTGATATGTAATCCTCCTCCAATGAGTATATATTCAGTCCTCTGACACAAACCCTACTTTGCCGACAAATGGCGGTCAATATCGCCGCGGATGGTGGCCGGCTTTAGACCACGGCAACAGAGAACTTATGGAGAACACCATATCAATCACTCAAACCCTCGGAAACTTGTAATCTTCATTCCGGCAATCTGATGCTTGGTCGGTGCCGCATCGGCTATCGATATCAAGGTTATGGTTACATAGACGAACTCATCGCAGGGAATAAGAGACCCACGAAGCGGGGTGACGATACGACCAAGGATCAACTAACTGATAACTCTAAAGATTTGCTTAATTGATATCCCAGTTAGGAAGGTAACTGTAGAACGTTTTGGGCGGGGGATTTGCGAGGTGGAGTCTCGGGCAACAATTCTAGGTCCTAGACTGAGGAGCAATTGAGATACTGCCAAAAGAAGTGATAAGGAGGATGCAGGCAATCATGGTTCGCCTAAGTGAGTTATGTTGGAGATCAGAATGGCCGTGGCATATAAGTTCAGGCGATCGCCATGTCCGCAATGCGACGGCAAGTCTGTTACACTTGGCCTAGTTTTGAGGCGACACTCAGGATTATTGTAACACGATAATAAAACCCCAAAATTGGCTCCAATTGAACTCCTTACATATCGAAGAATAAGACATCATAATGGTCTGTCTAGATCATGCCAGAGGCCTCGCAGCCGTTGTGTTCGGCCTCACACTCCTCGCAACCCCAGCATCATCACTTCAAACCACCCTTGAGCCACGCCAAAAGAAGAATGCTACAAGTCCATACACGGACGCGGTCTCAGACTACGTTAACTCACTCGATAAAGAGCTCTGGTCAATCAACAAGAACATCCACGACAATCCCGAGCTTGGATATAAAGAGTTCAAAGCTCACAAGCTTCTCACATCGTTCATGAAGAAGCAGAAGGGATGGAACGTAACCGATACAGTTGGTGGAATCGACACTGCTTTCATGGCCGTGTTCGATGGCTCAGGCGATGGTCCTGTCGTGAGCTTCAATGCCGAGTACGATGCGCTAGAGGGACTGGGACATGCCTGTGGCCATAACTTGATTGCGACAGCATCGCTAGGTGGCGCTCTTGCAACCGCTGAGATCATGCGCAAGGAGAAGCTTGGTGGCAAGGTCATTCTCTTTGGCACACCAGCTGAAGAATCTCTCGGTGGAAAGGTCAAGATGCTCGAAGCTGGCGTCTTCAAGGACGCCAAGATTGACATCTCTCTGATCTCACATCCCAGCAACGGCCCCGACACGCCGTACATGCTGGCCCAGTCAACAGATCGTGTCGATGTTGAGTACACAGGTCGTGAGGCTCATGCTGCGGCCGGGCCATGGGAAGGCATCAATGCACAAGACGCACTTCTCCTCGCCAACAGTGCTCTGTCCTATATGCGCCAGCAGATGCGCACAACAGATCGTGTCCATGGAATCATCCACTCAGCAGGAACTCGTATCAACGTTATTCCTGCCGATGCATCAGGAAGCTACCAGCTCCGCGCCGCCAATGAGGAACAACTCGAAGAGCTCTCAGACCGTGTGTACAACTGCTTTAAGGCTGGTGCTCTCGGCACAGGCGCAAAGATGAACTTCACAACACGACCATACGGCTACGCCAACATGAACAATAATGACGGTCTCGCTGCATCATACACACGCTGGTTCGAGGAGCTTGGCGGTGACCTCCCCGATGCTGATGTCGACAAGATGCGAGAGCCCGGTGGTTCAACTGATCAAGGCAATATCAGCCAGGACTTCCCAGCTATCAGCCCAATGTTCCAGATCACCTTTGCCAATGGCACGGTTCCAAAGAGTGGCCCTCATACTGCGCCCTTCGAAGTCGCAGCGGGAAGCAAGCCCGCTTTCGAGAAGGCACTTATGGTGGCGAAGGGTCTCGCTGGTGTTGCTGTGGATGTTTTGACGGTCGATGGACTGTTGGATGAGATTAAGGACGAGTTCAAGAAGACAAAGTCCTCTGCTCGACGAAGGAGATAAATAGCCGGACATGAGGCTAGAGCATGTGCCCACATATGACAATACTATAGCATGACATCACAATGGACATCAGTCGACAGGCCTGGAGTTGTTCATCTATCGTTGGTGAAGATTAGTGATACGAAACAACATGAAGCAAACCTGTAAAGGACCGATTGATGCTATACGGGGGGGTATGCAATTCGTTCTATCTTACATCTACGTACTCCACCTGCATCACTCATAACTCATCATACCCTGCCTCTTTCTATATACCGGGAAGACCAATGACCTGTCTAACAGCAGGTACAAAGCGAGGCACAATATACACAACGTAAAAGGCCGTCACCGCGGTCAAGAGTCCAGTAAACTAGGAGTCGTTAGCAATTACATCTTGAAAAACTGCTCGAGCTTTGCTCACCTTCTCGAACCATGTGTGGAAGTAAATGGCCGTCATGAGTAGCATCCAAGCACTCAATCCCATGACTCCCACGGCGAACTTGCCACCGAGACCTAGGGCAGGTCGCTCGGAACCTTCGCCGAGAGATGTATCAGATTCGACATTGGCGCTCTTGAGAGCTCCGTCGGTCATAACGACGCATCGCTCCTCGTTTCGCTTGCCAGACCATCTCAACACAGCCCAACCGACCTCTTGCATGAGAAAAGCAGTGCCTAGTGTTAGGAGGAAGACGTGGCCCGATATGTCATGACCTCCCTTCCATTTACCACCGGCAGCTTTGCAGGCTACTGCTGTGACCTTGTCACCAACAGTATCAGAACCAAATTCAACCTCCCTTCGAGCGAGCTCGCAGCGGCCACCTGTCCATCGGAAACCACGATCAATTAGAGCAGGTCCAAAACACCACTGTGTTACGAGGAACCACACAGTTGTTACAGCAACCCATCGTAGACTGGCGCGAACACGTCGCCCGGTGTCGGTGGTGCTAGGATGGCTGAAAATGAAGACAAAGAACGCAACAGTGATCCATGCCCAGCCTCGCTTGACAAAGAGAACGTTGAAAATATTGGACTTGCGCGCGAAGTAGCTGGGGGAAACGCTGGGATCTTGGAAATGCGACTGCGCGATAGGATCGTACGGTGCGGCGCGTGTCTGCGGCGAGATTATAGAGAAGATGGTTCCGAAGATCAAGAGAGCTGGGAATATTACAAGCCCAGCTCTCTCTAGAGGTGTCGGCAGGAAAGGAGACGAGCGAGGTGTCGAAGTTGATCTTGAGGGAGAATCCATAACTGTATCGTTCGCTTCAGCAGCCGCCCTCGCAGCACGTCGGGTAGTAACCATTTTAAACAAGCGCAGAGTAAGTCTCAAGAGAGCCACAGCATTAGTAGAGGTCAATGACAGGCTTGGAGAGAGGCAAAAGGTTTGCAAGAAGTGGCGCCAGATTGGCCTTGGTCGCGTTTTTGACGATGGGACAGTTGGCTTGAGGCGATGACGTCTACGTACTCGCGCTAGTAGTGGGCTACCGCCAAGGAAGCTCCAGGAAGCTCAGAGACTAATGGTGGTGGCCGGAAAAAAGAAAGCTCCGACTTCTGACGTCTGTAAATTATTATTTGAGGTGGGGTTCATCATGACAACTTCAACCTGCAGATTCACGACGAAATGCTGCGACGACGAACACGACGAACACTCTTTTGGGTTGTGTCTGTGATCAAGTGATCATGGAAGCCGCGAGAAACCGAATACGCTTTTGACGACTCATCCCGAAGAGTCATACTGACCAAACTCACGCTGTCGCGACCTCTCATTCGCCCACCCACGAACGCACGGAAACCTTCTTCGTTCACGCTTCGCCCACGAACCTCGCCCACTGCACCTCGCGCCCTCCACGAGACGACCATGCCTACCCTTATATACCAAAAACCACCCAATATCCATACCGAAGAGTGGTGTAGTGGTATACGCTCCTTAACTCCTATGATCACCTAAAAAATCTTCTTTCCGCTCCTATGATCTTTCTCCCACTACACCACTCTTCGGTTTTTGCCATTCGATTCAACTTTTTGTTCTTCTGGTCTCGACATCTGACCTCTTTTTTCGCGGATTTATCTGGTTGACTTTCGACGACATTCGAACGCAGCGAGGCCATGCCACAACGATACGTACCATGGAGGGGGTTACCTTTATGTACCAAAATCACTCACCCTACTGATGCGAAGAGTGGTGTAGCGGTATACGTCCTGCTCCTAAGGTCACCTAATATGTCTAAAATCCGCTCCTAAGACCATTCTCCCACTGCACCGCTCTTCGCTTTTGCCGGTCAAATCAACTTCATTTTTGCTGAGATTGTTTCTCATGCATCCTTTTTCGCGGATTTATCGCACCCAAGCTTCAGTATGTTCGAACCGAGCGACACATACCTTCACATACCTTGGGTGTCTGTGGGTTCTGAGGGTCTACCTTTATATACCAAAATCACTCTCTATACCAATGCGAAGAGTGGTGTAGTGGTATACGTCCTAAACTCCTAAGGTCACCTAAAATCTCTAAAATCCGCTCCTCAGACCATTCTCACCCACTACACCATTCTTCGCTTTTGCTATTTGCTTCGACTTCCTTTTTGGCATCTTGATCTTTCCAGTCGACTCCTTTTCTTCTCATTTCCCTGCAGGCTTCACGGCGCTCGAGCGCAGGGATGAACATGAACAAGCATTTACGACGTCTTACAACATCGACGACTTCCGTTTGGACAACAGACATATGGTGGAACTCCATGACCTGTCAATAAGTGCCATTGAACGGAGTCGTGATGCTCCATGCAGGCGTGAGGCGAGATTATTTGGCGGATACACTTGAGCCTTTGCGGAAAAGCTTGATGGTAGGCAGGCATGAGGCACTTTGCAAGCCGGTCCGATCAGTTGGTCGATTTTTTTTGGGTGATCTGGCGTTAAACGGGACGTGGACGTCTACCCCCATATACCAAAACCACTCTATTATTGTCGGCGAAGAGTGGTACAGTGGTATCCGTCCTAGGTCCTAAGATCATAAACCTAAAACCTCTAAAATGCGCTCCTACAATTTTTCCTTCACCCACTGTACCACTCTTCGTTTTTTGCCGAATGGCACAATTTCAGCATGGCCACGAGTCGCCTTTCTTTTTGCTCTCCCTGCCAGCAAACCGACTAAGCGATAGCCATCGTGACAGGCAACAGCGATATGGAGTCGGTGTCATTTTGTTTCTAGTCGATACCAGCTTGTTCACCAAGCCGAGAAGGACTCATGACCGAGATGAGACAGGACAATGAGAAGGTCACTTCTGCTCACACGACGAGGAGCACAGACGATATTACGGAGTGCATGCCATTGTCCCAGTCGATCGACAACAGGCAGGTCCTGTTCAGGGGCGGGCCTGGGAGGCTGACACGCCCTGCGTTGAGAGCGGCCTGCACCTTAGGCACCAGTACGACCCCTCGTCCTTATCCCTTATATACCAAAAACATTCACTACCCTTCCGAAGAGTGGTGCAGTGGTATCCGTCCTAGATCCTAAGATCATAACCTAAAATCTCTAAACTCCGCTCCTACAATTCCTTCTCCCACTGCACCACTCTTCGTTTTTGCCGGATCATACAAAAAACACGACAGCCGCAACACGAAAATTCCATTTTGCTTGTCAATGACAGAACAAAAGCTTTGGGTGACGAAGATGTCGACTCCGGGGTATTTTACAGCCCGTCCAAGCCAACTGCCACGGAGTGTACGAAGACCAGACATTGTTGATGATGAATGGTTGGGCCTTGATTCCACTCAACATTGCGCAAGAGAGCCTTACCCTTGCGGCATTGTTGGTTCTTGTCCAGTGCTCGATCACTTGAGGGTGGTTGCCTGGAGGGGTCTGGTCAGGTGGCCACAATTGCCTCGCCACTGCAGCGCTGGCAGTACGGACCCTCGTCCTTGCCCCTTATATACCAAAAACACTCACTTCACTCCCGAAGAGTGGCCTAGCGGTATCCGTCCTATAACCTATAAACCTTCTGTCATTCCGCACCTAAAAATCCTTCTCCCGCTGGGTCACTCTTCATTTTGCCGTTCACGAGTTCGAACGAGAGGTGATGCCATTCTTTTTTTGCGACTTCACGATACGAGAACGATTCCTGGACTAAAGCGATATCGACTTGGACTTTCCTTTTGCATGTAGTTGCTTTGGTTGACATCGGGGTCACCAGGCTCTGATGTGAACAGCCGAGATCTACCCCCTGTATGCCAAAATCAGACACTACCTGGTATCCTTCACCGAACCGTGGTCTAGCGGCACCCTCCCTAGAACCTACGAACCTCAATCCCACGAATCTTGTCCAGAATCCAGCCCCATGAATCCCCGTCCCACCGAGCCTCCCTTCGATTTTGTCGATCTCAAGTTAGTGGCATTTAATGTCATTATGATTGCGATATAATCGTATAAGAACGTTCTCAGGTTGCAGCAACATCGAATCGGATCTTCTTTTTATATGCCATCGCCCTGTTTGACGAGGGGACACCAAGGCTCAGATGGGGCCAGTCGACACGTACCCCTTATATACCAAAAGCACAGTTATCCTTGACGAAGAGTGGACTAGTGGTACCGTACCTAAAACCTACAAACTCTCTTCAAACCGCACCTAAAAAACAGTCTCCCACCAGGCCACTCTTCACTTTTGCCGTCCATGAGTTCGAATGACTCTTGGCATTGTTCTTTTTTTCGGTGCAAAAACACGACGACATTCCCCTGAGAACGACCAAACTGGAAGGACTTTCTTCGACTCGCCTGATAGTTTTGCTTCCTGCAGCTGTCTCGAGTAAGGCGTGTGATGCAAGTTACCATAAGCACCGCTGAGGTAGCATACCAACTACCCACATAATTGCCTAAGCCTATCCGACGGCGAAGTCTGTCACATAAAGAGAACTCTAGGCTGGGGTATATTGAGTCACAAGGTGGCAAAAGATCCGTCTAACTTTGACACAATGCTGACCGCAGCTGCCCGGGGAACCTTGCACAGACCATGGGACACCTACCCCTTATATACCAA